TTACAGGCATGTGCCACCACGCCTGGCTAATTTTTATATTTTTAGTAGAGACAGGCTTTCACCATGTTGGCCAGGCTGGTCTTGAACTCGTGACCTCATGATCCACCCGTCTCGGCCTCCCAAAGTGCTGGGATTACAGGCGTGAGCCACCGCGCCCAGCCATGAGTACTTTATTGTACTGTATGTTTTACAAATATCATCTCCCATTGTGAGCCTTTTCATCTTTTTGTGTTCCTAATTTTTAATTTCTGATGAAACGCAATAATTGACAGAATGAGTAGGTACAAAACTGGCACCAGGCACAGTGGCTCACACCTGTAATCACAGCACTTTGGAAGGCTGAGGCGAGCAGATCACCTGAGTTCGGGAGTTCGAGACCAGCCTGCCCAACATGGAGAAACTCCGTCTCTACTAAAAATACAAAATTAGCCGGGCATGGTGGCGCAGGCCTGTAATCTCAGCTACTCAGGAGGCTGAGACAGGAGAATCACTTGAACCCGGGAGACGGAGGTTGCAGTGAGCCAAGACCGCGCCATTGCACTCCAGCCTGGGGAACAAGAGCAAAACTCCCGTCTCAAAATGAAAGAAAAGGCCTGCGCGGTGGCTCAAGCCTGTAATCCCAGCACTTTGGGAGGCCGAGACGGGCGGATCACGAGGTCAGGAGATTGAGATCATCCTGGCTAACACGGTGAAACCCCGTCTCTACTAAGAAATGCAAAAAAATAGCCGGGCGAGGTGGCGGGCGCCTGTAGTCCCAGCTACTCCGGAGGCTGAGGCAGGAGCATGGCATGAACCTGGGAGGCAGAGCTTGCAGTGAGCTGAGATCCGGCCACCGCACTCCAGCCTGGGTGACAGAGCGAGACTCCGCCTCAAAAAAAAAAAAAAAGAAAGAAAGAAAGAAAAGAAAGAAAAGAGAAGAGAAAAGAAAAGAAAGAAAATTGGCAAGGATATAGAACTTGAACTCCACTGGACCTGACATTAAAACATTTGACTCAACAAGAGCAGAAAACACTCTTCTCAAGCACACACACATTTACCAAGAGAGACCGCAGTCTGGGTTATGAAATAAACCCTGTCAACTTCGAAAGGATTCAAGTGGTTTTTTGATACAGGGTCTCACTCTGTTGCCCAGGCTGGAGTGCAGTGGCAGGAACATGGCTCATTGCATTTTCAACCTCCTGGGCTCAAGTGATCTTTCCACCTCAGCTTTCTGAGTAGCTGGGACTATAGGCATAGGTGTGGGCAACCACCCCAGGGTAATTTTTAAAATTTTTTGTAGAGACAGGGTCTCACTACATTGCCCAGGCTGGTCTCAATCTCCCAGGCTCAAGTGATCCTCATCCCTCAGCCTCCCAGTATCAGATTACAGGTGTGAGCCACCATGCCCCAGCCAAGAACTCAAGTTATATAAAGTATGCTCTCTGGCCACAGGGAAATTCAACTAGAAATTACTAACAGAAAGATCTCTGGCAAATTCCTCAATATTTGGAAACTAAATAACACACCTCTAAATAACTAGTAAGTCAAAGAATAAATCAAGGGGGAATTAGCAAGTATTTTGAACTGAATGAAAACACAACATATGAAACTTTGTCAGGTATCATGAAAGCAGACTCAACTTTTTAGACCTTACAAATGCCTGACTGTCCCCTTTGCCTCTGGTCTTCTGCCTGGGGGCTGCCTTTCCCCAATCTTTGTTCATTGTACTGAATCCTACATGACACTGTCAACCAATGAAGACATCCAGAGATAGACTCTCTAAAACAAATGGATTTGGGAATAGCAGCTTATCTGGAATACTGCAACTGTTGAGGATGGTCTTGCAGTGAGTCCTGTTATTGGTCTGTTTGTAGAAATGTCTTGTAGTAAGTCCTATTACAGGAACGTGTGCATGAGGGCTGCTTCACCCCCGTTTTAGAGTTCGACATAAGTGACTCCATTTTGGTACCGGCAACGTTCACAACTTTCCATGTGACCTCAGAGCCCTACACCCCGATCCTTCCTCTGCCCACTTTGCAGGACCACTATCAATGAGACTGTGACTTCCTTGAGAGCTAAGGCTGGGTCTCATTCGCTCCTGAAACTTTCATCCAGTACAGCAATGGCCCACGCCATGCATGACATGCGTTGCCAAATGACTGCATCATCTCAGTCAGTATGCCAGTCCCCACCGAGCCTCGCTCTCAACCTCCCTGGCTGGCATAGGTGCCTTGTACAGACATCCAGTGGCAGTAAAACATTGCTGTACTCTCAGCTCCCTCCACCTGAAGCCCTCACGGACCCACCCAGCTGTCCTGTCTCCGCTCAGGACGAGACTCCCTTGCCCCTTTGGTCTCCATGGCCAGGTGATGGTAGTGGCCTTTTCCAGACCCTCACTGGCCCCTTAGTTCACTATGAAGATGACCTCACCTGTCAGGAACCCATGGTGACGTCTTTCCCTCGCATACATCTACATTTGCCTGACCCAGAATGTGGTTTCAAGATGAGTCCCATGCCTGGCTCCAAATCCCCTTGTCAGAGTAAGGAAATCCCCTGAACTCTTAGTTTGCTAAGAACTCTTGTTATAAATGGCGGTTGGGTCCTTTACTGGGTGCCTGCTCCGCAACCATTGCGAAGGTCACGTGGGTTTTGCTCCTTTAATCTGTTGATGTGAATCACATGTGATTCTGTGGCATTGAAACCACTTTGCAACTCTGAATTAAATCCGGCGTGGCACTTTGCTAAACTTGGTTTATTATTATTAAAATTTTGACATTGGTATTTGGTAACTTCCCTTCCTCTTACCTAGTTTTCTTGTTTAGTTTTGGTAACGAAGTTAAATTCATGAAGTGTTCTCTCATTTGATTCTCTGTTAGAATTTGTCTAAGTCTAGAATTACCTGTTCTCTATTTCATGGAACTTCTCTGTAACTGTCCAGGGGAACATTCTTAACTACTGATTCAATTTCATCAGTGATTACAACTCAGGCTTCTATTGGTCAGTTTTGGAGATCTTTCTTCCATTTACTTTGGGTTGTTCCAACTTAAGCTGCATGCTTATTTATCTTTGGCCCTTAAAAACACAGACATACAGCATATACGTGTATGAATGGCACTATTTATCTATCTGTAGATGCACATACATTTAGGGGCTATGAAATGTTTTTTATGCTGCTTTAACCCTGTTCCACAAATTTTTTCTGAGACAGTCTCGCTCTGTCACCCAGGCTGGCGTGCAGTGGCTCGACCTTGGCTCACTGCAGCCTCCACCTCCCGGGTTGAAGCGATTCTCCTGCCTCAGCCTCGCAAGCAGCTGGAACTACAGGCATGTCCCACCATGCCCGTTAATTTTTGTTATTTTTAGTAGAGATGGGGTTTTATCATGTTGGTCAGGCTGGTCTCGAACTCCTGACCTAAAGTGATCCACCCGCCTCCGCCTCCGCCTCTGCCTCCAGAAGTGCTAGGATTAACGGCATGAGCCGCTGTGCCAGGCCCTGCTCTACAAACTTCAATACACAGCATTTTCATTATCTTTTAGTCCCAAATATTTCTAATATCCATTAGGAATTAACTCATACGTAATTTGTAACTACGTTTTAAAAGTTCCAAATATGAAATTTTAAGAATTAGTTTAGGCTGGACACAGTGGCTCACGCCTGTAATCCCAGCACTTTGGGAGGCCGAGGCGGGCGGATCACCTGAGGTCAGGATATCGAGACCATCCTGGCTAGCACAGTGAAACCCTGTCTCTACTAAAAATACAAAAAATTAGCAGGGCGTGGTAGCGGGCACCTATAGTCCCAGCTACTCGGGAGGCTGAGGCAGGAGAAACGCTTAAACCTGGTAGACAGAAGTTGCAGTGAGCCGAGATCGTGCCACTGCACTCCAGCCTGGGCGACAGAGCGAGACTCTGTCTAAAAAAAAAAAAAGAAAAAAAAAAGAATTAGCTCAAAATTTTTTTAACGACATTGGGATGTGGTCAGGTAACGACACTGATTCCTTCAAATATCTTACGACTTCTTTTCTAGACAAAGTAGGTGGTCAATTTCCATCCATGTTCCATTTACGCTTGGAAAGACTGTATTCTTTCCAGATACTGTTGTCTGTCTCCTAGCTCAAGCTCATACCCATCTCACATCGGATCTTTCACGGGGCTTTTTCATCAGTAGACACTATTAACAGTCACACCAGCTCCCTTTCGGTTACAATCTTCGTCTCGTTAACTGGAGAGTTTCATCAAAAGAATTTTATTTACAGCGTTATCATCCACGTGTCACTAAAATTCACCTGAGTTTTATTCAACCTGTATTCATTTTGATTGCCTGGAGCTTTGGATTTAATTCTTCCATTCCATTTTGTATCCTCCATTCACTTCACTCTCTCCAGCTTTTACTCTTTCTCTTTCCCTTGGGCCAATGCACTTGACCCAACTCACACCTGTGGACTCTGGGAAGGTACTGCTCCCTCCCTCCCTCTGAATTCGGAGGTGAAATGCCGCCCCGAGGCACTGAGGAACAGAAAGGAATGAGACCCCAACAGGCAGAAGCCAAGAGAAGGGGGAGGAGACGCAGCGTTCTGCCCCAGGACGCACCATGCCTGGACGTGCTCCCACCACTCCCGAGTGCCAGGTGCCCACACGCCACACCTCAGGGTTGTCCTCTGTTCCAGTCAGCTGCAGACTAACGGGGCTCGGCAGCAGAGGCCACCCTCTTCTGTCCTGTGGCTCCTGCGAACACAGGCCGGGGGAAGGGGCAGTGACTGCCCACCCCCACCGTTCCTCCTCCCTGACCCTGCAAACCTCGGGGAAGCTTTCAGGCCCGGGAAAGAAGACTGGGCCCCAGTGTGGCTCGCCCTTTCCCCGGGTCTGAAGGCCCCGGACCCTGTTTTCAAGGATGACGCTGAAACATTCTCTTTCACACACGTGATCTGAGCCCTCACAACTCAGCAGAGCATGACAGTGTCCCCCTCACACGCAGAGGCCGCGGTCTGTGGAGATCCTGGGACAGAGCCAGCATCAAGGACTCAGAGGGTCCCCTGGAGCCTCCCAGGACAGAGACGGCAGCCCCAGGTGGGAAAGACTCAGACCAGGCCTGCGCGCTCCAGGTCCTGCGGCAGGATGCGGCCCTTCTTGCGGGCCCTGAGCAGGCGGCGCTCGGCGCGGGCCGCCTTCTTCCTGCGCAGGTTCTGCCGACGCCGGTCCTGGCGCTGCTGCATCTTCTCCACCACGCCGGCCGTGCGTTTCTCCCACCGGCGCTGCCGCTGCGCCCTCCGCTTCTCCTTACGCCTCAGGGCCTCCTGTAGCAGGCGCTCGTCATCGCGGATCTTCACGCCCTCCGCCTTGTACAGGAGGTTGGTCCACTTCATCTTGGCCTCCAGCTCCTGCGCCTTCCCCTCATCCCGGTCGCGCAGCTCGTCCAGCCGGCTCTGCCGTGCCTGCAGGCGCTCCAGCAGCTGCCGGTAGTTCCTCCCGGTCAGCGGCGTGAGGTTCCCCTTCACCCTCTGCCTCTTCTCCTTTCTGCGCTGAGCCTTGCTGGCCGGCTCATCTTCGCTCACCTCCACCTGGGAAAAAGGCATGACATGAGCTCATGCCAGCCCCACACGAGGCCCCAGTCTTGGCCGGCACCCTAAGGGAACTGCGCTGTCCCCGTCACCACCTTACAGACGCGATGGGGCCCGGAGGGAGGTCATGAAGCTAACAAGGGGCAACGCTGAGGCCTGAAGCCGACCCAGCCCGCCCGAGGACCCAGCTCCCACTCACCTTATTGAAGATCAGCCCCGGCGGCTCCCGCGGCTCCGTGCAAGCACCCTCTGGGGCTGGCTCCACCGCCTCCTGGGCCTCCGCGGCCTCCTCAGCCTTCCTGGCCTTCTCTTTCGCCCGCAGCTCCTTTCGCTTCCTCTTCTTCCGGTCCCGTTCCTGCTTTCTCCTCCGCTTTTTCTCCAGGGCGGCAGGCGACAGCTCCTTGGCACTGCCCTGGGGGACAGGCGCCCACTCATTAAAGTTCTCTTGACCCCAGGGTCCCCCAGCCTGGCCCATGGTTGAGAAGAATCGGGGCTGGAAGGCAGGTGAGGAAATCCTCACGCAGAACAAGGGGCCCACGGAGTTCAATGTTCCACAACAGAGGATGTTCCTCGAAAATGCAAATGACCCCAAAAGGGAGAAGGGACCCCCAAATAAGAATCACGGCTTCCAATTCCCAGGCGCTTACCCCGTGCCAGGATACGTTACAAACATGGTTCCACATGTCATACATTGTTTCATAGATGAGGGTCAACACCACTGCCTAGAACTTGGAGTTGGGGTCTGAACACCTGTCCTGACTGCTGCCTATTCTGTTCACGAGGTACCCAAACTAAGCTCTCCCCAGTGGCCTTTCCCATTCCCGGGCCAACAAGAGTCCTACACCAGCCCAAATGAGGCCTGTGCTTCAGCAACAAGGGCCCGGAGCCTTGATCGCCTCTTAGGAACGATACACTGTACCTTGGGATGGCAAAGGAGAGTAGCTGGGGACTGTCCCCCACACAGCATGAGGCCTTAAGGAAGGGCCCCAGGGCAAGGGTGGGTAGGGGCCAACACAGAGGAGACAGCACCATTCAGCACAAAGAGCTGCACTGGCGCCTCTTGTGCCTAGCCACTCAGCTCAGGTCCCTGCTCAACTCACAGGACTATCACGACATTCGGAGAAACAGACACAGGAGGTGCCTATCCCAGTGTCAGTTCAGCAAAGGCAGCTTCCCAGAAGGAAGGAGGCCGATAGCTTTGGGGACTGAGGTTCTCCAAGAAAATAACTGCTCTCCCAGGGCACAGCTGCTGGGGCCCTGACAGACTCACTGCAGAGGGGAGAACAGGGGCTACAGCCCCTCGCTGAGAGCCGACCCCAGGGAGAACACAGGTAGAGCAGTGACAGCACTCCAGCAAACCTGCCTGCCTACCTGGCCCCGGGCCTCCTGGATCTTCTCATGCAGTCGCTGTCGCAGAACATCCAGTGCAAAGACAGACTCAGGCTCAGTGGCCAGGCCATCTGCAGGGAAGGAGACAGGACTGCAGGGGGCCCTCTCTCCCTCTCCCCCTCCCTCCCTAGGGCCACGAATCCCTGTCCCACTGTGGCCACTCATGGATCTGCAGGGCAATTTCAGTAAATTCTATTCCACTGCTTCAACCTAGACTGGTTCCTACAACATCCTCCAGGACAGGTAACTGAGTGCCTTGCAAGGTAGGTCACTGTGGTATGAGAAAACACGCCCTACGGCGCCAGCCAAACCACCTCCTCCACATTCTGTAGCCTGCGCCCCAGAACAAGTGGGCTCTCACGACGCCCCTGCAGAGACCTGAGGACAGTGAAGCTCAAGTCAAGCTGCTCCAGGTCCTCAGAGAGACATGGCCTTGCCCCCGACATCCTGCTAGCCACGTGGCCTGGAACGCCATACAGTTCCTTCGGTCCCATCCACCCTAGCGCTCCCGGGATCTTTGCTCTTGGGGAAGTCTTGTGCTATCCCTGTGTGCCTGACAATGCTTTTTTTTAAAAGCAGAGGGGACCAAGCCCAAGCCCGGCCCCAGCCCCGCCCTGCACAGAACCAACATGTCCTGACGCCTCTCACCTGCAGGGTTCCCTGCTGAACTGGAAGCCCCAGCTGCTTCCTCTTTGGCTGCCTCAGGCCTCCTGGCCCCAGAGGCTGCTGGAGACTTCTCTCCCAAGGACTTGGCCTTGTGCTCAGCAGCCTTCTCTTCCCGCTGCCGGAATTTCTTTTGTGTTTTCTTCCTTTTCTTTTTTGGGGGCCCTGCAGCTTCTGAGCCTCGAGTTTTGCCAGCTGAAATGCAAAATAAGAAAGAGTTGCCGTCCCAGCTGGGCGCGGTGGCTCACACCTGTAATCCCAGCACTTTGGGAGGCTGAGGCAGGCGAATCACAAGGTCAGGAGTTCGAGAGGAGCCTGGCTAACATGGTGAAACCCCGTCTCTACTAAAAATACAAAAAATTAGCCAGGCGTAGTGGCAGGCGCTCGTAATCTCAGCCTCTCAGGAGGCTAAGGCAGGAGAATAGCTTGAACCTGGGATGTGGAGGTTGCAGTGAACTGAGATCACTCCACTGCACTCCAGCCTGGGCAACAGAAAAGGACTCCGTCCCAAAAAAAAAAAAAAAAAAGAAAGAGTTGCCTTGCCAATCTCATGGCCCATTCAATAGGCAGGAAAGGCTCACCAAGGCTTTGATCCTAGGAGGATGCAGAAAGAGGATCAGGATTGGGAGGCAGAGACACACTGATCCTAGAGCTCAGAACCATAACCTTGACCAAGTAGTTCTGCTTGTGAGCATCCATCATGCACAAAGACCAGGCTTCAAGGACGTTCATCATATTATTTGAGTGAAAAATTAGAAAAACCTGAATATCCACCTCTACTAACAATTTCTGACCCTGCTTCACAATAAGCTACCATGTTGCCATCAAACACAATGACAAGGGCTTTCATTTTAGCTGCTGGGGGTAAGGTTTACTTTTTTTTTTTTTTTTTTTTGAGACAGAGTCTCACTGTGTTGCCCAGGCTGGAGTGCAATGGCATGATCTCTCCTCACTGCAAACTCCGCCTCCCGGGTTCAAGCGATTCTCTTGCCTCAGCCTCCTGAGTAGCTGGGATTACAGGCGTCCACCACTGTGCCCGGCTAATTTTTGTATTTTTAGTAGAGACGGGGTTTCACCATGTTGGCCAGGATGGTCTCGATCTCCTGACCTTGTGATCCGCCTGCCTCGGCCTCCCAAAGTTCTGGGATTACAGGCGTGAGGCCCCATGCCAGGACAATGTTTACTTTTTAAATGGGAGAAATCAGTATGTAAAGTAGGAGCTGAATTGTTTTAATAAATGGAAAAAAAAAAAAAAACTTGAAAAAGGATGAGAAAGACAGACGGAAGACATACTGAGTAATGAGAAAATTCACAAGATTTTGGATTTGCTATCACCGATATACCGTCCTTGAATAAAAAGGAAACCCTGTTTAACCTCTGGTGGGTCCAGAGACGCTGCTGCTCTCCTCTCCTCCTGGGCCCAGACAGCACTGACAAGTCCCCGCTGTCGGCTTCCCCGCCCGATTGTCTACTTCCCTTGTGCAGCCTGGTCACCAGGCCATGAGAACCCTAAGGGCAGGAGCCCTCTGCCATCCTCCTCCTCCCCACACCGCACCATGTCCGTAATGAAGGGACTGAAAGGGTCTTTTCCCACTGACTGACCGTTACTCCTGTCTCTACTAAACCCCCTCTCTACTAAAAATACAAAAATTAGCTGGGCGTGGTGACGCGCGCCTGTAATCCCGGCTACTCTGGAGGCTGAGACAGGAGAATCTCTTGAATCCGGGAGGCGGAGCTTGCAGTGAGGCGAGATCGCATCACTGCACTCCAGCCTGGGGGACAGAGCGAGACTCTGTCTCCAAAAAAAAAAAAAAAAAAAAAAAAAAAAAGCAAGGGAAACGGCGGTAATTTCACAAGTCACTTAGATTTTTTTTTTCCAGTACTTTACGGACTCGTCTACACCGGCTCCGGCCGCCTCCCCGTTTCGCAGGCCCCTCAGTCCCAGCCCGGCCATGTGCGTTACCCCGCGTGCGCGCCTGCTGCTCCGGGCCCGAATGGGAGCAGATCTTCTTGGCCAGGCTCTGCAGGTAGGCGTCCTTGGCGAGTAGAGAGGCCATGGCGGAGACCCGAGCCGTTCACAACTCACACCTTCCCGGCTGCGCGTGCGACTCTCACCACGTCCGCCGGAAACCACCACACGGGCAGGCGCAGCCAGACGAGCGCCGAGCCGCCAGCCCGAGCGCTCGATTAGTCAGGCCTGACTCCGCCGGAAGCGGCGCGCGGGGCGGAGAGCACAGTATTGTGGGCCGAGGGCAGCCAATCTCCGCCGGGAGTGGGTGCAGCCGGGGACCCCGAGGCCGGGCCTCAGCGCCTCCATCACCCGGGTCCCGCACGTGTCCCTGCGCTCCCCTCACCCCTACACCCGGCGCAGCAGGCCCTCCTGAGTAGGGGCGAAATGAGTGAATGACCAGCAGTACATTCATTCAGTCCTTTGGAGTGGGGGGCCTCCGGTCTCAGGCGGACGCAGACTGAGCGCCTGGCACGTGGCAGGCCCTAGGTTCAGTCCTAGGGGACACAAGCAGTGTGTCACACACACAGATGTGCTCTTGGCTAGTGTCTGCCGTAGAGGTGGCTGATAAACCTGGCAAGCGTGTGACTGTCAGGTGAGGGCAGCGCCAAAGAAAGCCCCAGGGGAAAAGGGAGAAGTGTTGGGCGGGAGGGAGCCGGCGTGTTCAAGGAAGAGCCCCTGCGCAGTGACTTTTGCTCTGAAAAATAGACTTACACACTACGATCTTCCCTCCGCCCCGGGAAAGGAGTCTCACTCTATTGCCCAGGCTGGAGTGAAGTGGCGAGATCTAGGCTCACTGCAACCTCCGCCTCCCGGGTTCACGCCATTCTCCTGCCTCCGCCTCCCGAGTAGCAGGCGCCCGCCACCACGCCCGGGTAATTTTTTGTATTTTTTAGTAGAGACGGAGTTTTACCGTGTTAGTCAGGATGGTCTCGATCTCCTGACCTCGTGATCCGCCCGCCTCGGCATCCCAAAGTGCTGGGATTACAGGCGTGAGCCACCGCGCCCGGCCTAATTTTTGTATTTTTAGTAGAGACGGGGTTTCACCATATTGGCCAGGCTGGTCTGGAACTCCTGACCTCAGGTGATCCACCCACCTCTGCCTCCCATAGTGCTGGGATTGCAGGCATGAGCCACTGTGCCCGGCCCACACTACGATATTTAACACAAGATGTGGCCTTTATAATAACTCACTAGGGGCAGGAGAAAGGAGAGGTCATGGTCTGAGGCTTGGGACCACCACACCCCAGTTCCTGCACTGGAAAATTACAGGCTCGTTAAGGACCCAGAGCCCCTTCCAGGGCCACCCTGTTGGTCGAGAAGGGAGAACTTAGAGTCTTAAATTACAATTTGAAAACGTGGCTGCTAATATATATATATATATTAGAAACAGTAAGAACTGTTGTATTTGAAACTAAACTTTCTTCCCCTAACTTCTGCCATGAGGTGATTTAAAAAAATTTTTTTGGCCGGGCACAGTGGCTCACGCCTGTAATCCCAGCACTTTGGGAGGCCAAGGTGGGAGGATCACTTGAGCCCTAGAGTTGGAAACCAGCCTGGGCAACATAGTGAAACCCTGCCTCCACACACACAAAAAATTAAATTAGCCCAGCATGGTGGCCGGCCCCTGTAATCCCACTACTCAGGAGACTGAGAAGAGAGGATCACTTGAACCCGGGAGGCAGAGGTTGCAGTGAGCCAAGATCACGCCACTGCATTCTAGCCTGGAGTGCCAGGTTGTCTCAAGAAACATATACTTTTTTCATTTTTAAAAAAGGCAGTCAAATTTAGCAGTGTGGGGGTTGAATGCCAACTACAGTGATACTAAGGTTAATTAGTTCTGACATCCCACTGCCATTCAGACCAAGCTAGAGGTGATGTTGCATGGGGGATGGGTGTGACGCTGCTGCTGAGTCCCCTGAACTGCTGGGTATCTTAACACCATCACCTACTGAGTTCAGAATGGGCATCTGACCCCCCCAAGCCCCATCTCTTCCTCTAACTGCCAACCCTTTTTTCAGTTAAAGCAGCTCCATCCTTCCAGGTGCTTGGGCCAGACCTTGAAACCACTGACTCCTTTCTTATTCCCCACATCCAGTGCTTCAGCAAATCCTGTCAACTGTGCCTTCACAGCACCTTCAGAATCCGACTGGACTCACTCCCATCTCACCACCACTCTGGTCCTGTTTTATTTTTTGAAACGGGGAGTCTCACTCTTTCTCCCAGGCTGGAGTGCAATGGTATGATCTTGGCTCACTGCAATCTCCACCTCCTGGGTTCAAGTGATTCTCCTGCCTCAGTCTCATAAGTAGCTGGGACTACAGGCGCGTGCCACCATGCCTGGCTAATTTCTTTTTCTTTCTTTCTTTCTTTTTTTTTTTTTTGTTTGAGGTAGTTTTGCTCTTGTTGCCCAGGCTGGAGTGCAGTGGCCCAATCTCGGCTCACTGCAACCTCCGCCTCCTGGGTTCAAGCGATTCTCCTGCCTCTGCCTCCCGAGCAGCTGAGATTACAGGTGTGCGCCACCACGGCCGGCTAATTTTTGTATTTTCAGTAGAGACGGGGTTTCTCCATGTTGGTCAGGCTGGTCTCGAAATCCCAACCTCAAGTGATCTGCCCGCCCCGGCCTCCCAAAGTGCTGAGATTACAGGCGTGAGCCACCACGCCCAGCTAATTTCTATATATTTTTTTAGTAGAGAAGGGGTTTTGGCATGTTGCCCAGACTAGTCTCAAAACTCCTGACCTTAAGTGATCTGTCCATTTTGGCTTCCCAAAGTTTTGGGATTACAGGCATGAGCCACCATGCCTGACCTGGTCCTGTTCTACATTTTAAGACTCCAAAATAACAACCACATGCAACACACAATAAAAACAGGCATAAAAGCTTTTCAGCTGGAACCGCCATCTTCCAGTAACTGGCCAAAATGACAAACACAAAGGGAAAGAGGAGAGGTACCTGATACGTGTTCTCTAAGCCGTTTAGAAAACATGCAGTTGTTCCTTTGGCCACGTGTATGTGAATCAATAAGGGTGATATTGTAGACATTAAGGGAATGGGAACTGTTCAAAAAGGAATGGCCCCCAAGTGTTACCATGGCTCAACTGAAAGAGTCTACAATGTTCCCCAGCATGCTGCTGGCATTGTTGTAAACAAATAAGTTAAGGGCAAGATTCTTGCCAAGAGAATAAATATGTGTAACGAGCACATGAAGGACTCTAAGAGCCGAGATGGCTTCCTGAAACGCGTGAAGGAAAGTGATCAGAAAAAGAAGGAAGCCAAAGAGAAAGGTACCCGGATTCAACTGAAGCGCCAGCCTGCTCCACCCAGAGAAGCGTCCTTTGTGAGAACCAATGGGAAGGAGCCTGAGCTGCTGGAAACTCTTCCCTATGAATTCATGGCATCATAGGTGTTAAAAAAAAAAAAAAAAGAAAAAAGACCTCTGGAATAGGAAAAAAAAAAAAAAAGGCATTAAAAAAACTATTTGGGCCGGGCGCAGTGGCTCAAGCCTGTAATCCCAGCACTTTGGGAGGCCGAGATGGGCGGATCACAAGGTCAGGAGATCGAGACCATCCTGGCTAACACGGTGAAACCCCATCTCTACTAAAAAATACAAAAAACTAGCCGGGCGAGGTGGCGGGCGCCTGAAGTCCCAGCTACTCAGGAGGCTGAGGCAGGAGAATGGCGTAAACCCGGGAGGTGGAGCTTGCAGTAAGCTGAGATCCCGCCACTGCACTCCAGCCTGGGCGACAGAGCGAGACTCCGTCTCAAAAAAAAAAAAAAAAAAAAAAAAAAAAAAAAAAAACTATTTGGGGAACAACTGAAAAAATCTGAATGTGACTAGATACTAGAGGATATGGAATCATCCATTTTGGTTGTGGTGATGGGAGAAGGAGAATGTGCTCAGAGAGGCAAACTGACGAGTACTTCCATGAGCTCAACTGCCCTCAAAATAAAAGGCTTGGGATAAAAGAGTGACATAGACTGAGGATGGGCCAGGGCTTAGGAGCATGGAGGCCACTCCTGACCTTAATACGCATAGTTTTGCTAGAGTCATGGAGACAAAACCTGTCTGACGCAGGCCCAAGAGAACCGCAAATGGGTATCAGCTGCTTCCCTGTGGAGCTCTGCTGCCAAGGGCCAGGAGCTGGAGAGGAAAAGGGGTCAGCAAAGCGGCTTGGCTCTAAGGAGAAATGACTTGATTTTCACATGGGAACGATGGTCCTGGTCAAGCAGAAAACAAAACTGACGGCAGAAGGTCTTACTGCTCAGGTGTTTAGGAGCAGGACAAGTGGGATCCCACCACAAAGTCTGGCCAGTTCCTTCCGGGCTTTCCTTTCGTATATGCTTCCATCTGGTTGTAATATTTTTCTTCCTTAGTGGTTAAGTACAAGGCATTTCCACAGCTGAAACAGTGCAGGAGATCACCACACATATCAATGGGGAAATAATCCCTCAGAGGGAAAGCAACTTCCCTAGGCCACCCCAAAAGCCAGACCCAGAGTCAGGGCTAGGCCTCAGGCTCCTGTCTGACTAGTGCCTGCTGCTTGGCTGTGAGGTTCTCTGGTTCACGTGGTGACGGGTCAGCTGTGTTCTTACCTGTCCCCAAGGCTGGATCCTGGGCTGTCACCTCATTCATAGATCGGGGAAGATGATGGCCTCCCCATGAGAAGATGAAGCACATGGATGGTGGTGGAGGAATTGGAGGTGGGGGAGTTAGGGGGCAGGTGTGCTCCCCTCACACTTCCTGCCCAGTGCTGTGACTTCTACATTTCTAAGGTGAGCCTGGCACCAAAAGACACTGGGTCTAGACTTCCATCAGGTTCAAGTTCTGATTTCTGCCACTTCACTTCCTAGCTCTGTGGCTGTGGGTACACCTCACCCCTTCTAAGTCCACATTCTCTCCTCTCTGAAATATCGGCACTAGGAGCACCGGCTCTGGTGGCAGTGAGGATGAGATGCCAGCAGAGGCACAGGTGCCTGGATGTGCAATGATGGCAGCAGGTCCATTCACTGAATACTGGGGACCTACCAGGTGCCAATGGGGCGAGGGTGACTTCAGGCCAGGCTGTCCTCCAGAGCTGAGGAGCTGCTGCTTGGACAGCTGCTGGGAGACCAAGGGTGGTCCTGAA